CCTTCGCACAGATGTTTTCGTGAGGTTCCAGCCTGAGAGCATTGCCTGTGCCTGCATTTATCTTGCTGCCCGGACGCTGGAGGTCAGTGCTGCAGCACCACGGGGTGGTCCAGTCTGCATCCTCCTCCAGCCTCCATGAACTTTCATGTCGTGTTCTTCAAATTATGCTCATCGATGCCAAGAAAACTGCTTCTTGGTGCCCAGCAGGCTTGGTTTCCATTGCCCTAAGAACCTTGTTATCCATAAAGAAAAGTGTAACCGTGACGGCATTTGTGCTTACAGATCCCTTTGCCTAATCGTCCCCATTGGTTCCTTTTGTTTGGAGCAACTGAAGAAGAAATTCAAGAAATCTGCTTAAAAATCCTGCAGCTTTATACTCGGAAAAAGGTTCTTCTATGTTTTTTCACGTAACGCATGCATTTGTGTTTGACTAGAAGCATCTGGTTCTGACTAGATGGATTTTGGCTTTGATAGGTTGATCTGACACACCTGGAAAGTGAGGTGGAAAAGAGAAAGCATGCCATCGAAGAGGCAAAGGCACAAGCCAAGGGCCTGCTGCCGGGCGGCACCCAGGTCCTGGACAGCACCTCAGGGTTCTCGCCTGCCCCCAAGCTCGGTGAGTGTCAGGGCGCATGAGTCTGCTCCCTACAGGGTGGCCCTCCTTTCTTCCAGATATTGAGTCTGCCACTGGTCTGAGCACTTTGCAAGCACCAGTCCCTGGTGAACACTTGGTGATCTTTGAAATGAGACGGGGGCTCCTAAAGGAGTTTTGTTTTCATCCTTTTCTGTTTCCAAGGGACATGGACAGGCTTTCTGAAATGCTTTTGTTTACCCAGCCTACCCAATTAGCTTGTCTTTTGATGAAAAATTTTTTTTTCTTTGTGAGGAAGATCGGCCCTGAGCTAACATCCGTGCTAATCCTCTTTTTGCTGAGGATGACTGGCTCTGAGGTAACATCTATTGCCAATCCTCCTCCTTTTTTTTTTTTTTCCCCACAAAGCCCCAGTAGATAGTTGTATGTCATAGTTGCACATCCTACTAGTTGCTGTATGTGGGACGCGGCCTCAGCATGGCCAGAGAAGCGGTGCATCGGTGAGCGCCCGGGATCCGAACCCGGGCCGCCAGTAGCGGAGCACGCACTTAACCGCTAAGCCACAGGGCCGGCCCTAATGAAAGTTTTATAAATCTGGGACAGTAGATTGTGTGGTCAGATCCTAGAGTTACGCATGATGCCCGTCCCCAGGCCCTGAGGGAAGGCAAGCGAGCCAGGTGGCCTTCTGTGTCTTTGGGTTGCCTGTTGATGTCTGAGTCCCAGGCTGGGAGCAGGGAGTTAGGATGAGCACGTCTTTATCAGTCCCATGGAAGAGACATGATCTTGCTCTGCTAACTCGTGTCTTATCAGAACAGTTCTCTAATGGTTGGGTTTTAACTTGTTGTACTTGATTCCAGTGGAGTCCCCCAAAGAAGGAAAAGGAAACAAGCCTTCCCCACTCCCTGTGAAGAACGCCAAGAGGAAAACGGAGGGTGTGAAGAAGGCCAAGGCTGACAGCCCGGTGAATGGGTGAGTACCGGAGTGCCCCAGCGGGCTGGTGGGGTTGGCTGGAGAGACTGCGGGTCTGTAACTGCCCCCACCCTGTTCTCAGCTTGCCTAAGGGGCGAGGGAGTCGAAGTCGGAGTGGGAGTCGAGAGCAGAGCTACTCAAGGTCACCATCTCGATCTGCTTCTCCTAAGAGGAGGTGTGCTGCTCGGGGCTCACTGGGGGGCTTGTACCCGGCGGGGTGGGTGTTTTCCCCAGGGTAGCTGGAGGTAATATGGCTGCCCCTCGGGGAACAGTCACTCCTGACCCTGAGGTGGTTGGGGTGGGTGGTCACTCGCTTGGTGGTGCTGTCCTTCCTCACAGGAAAAGCGATAGCGGCTCAACGTCTGGCGGGTCCAAATCACAGAGCCGCTCAAGGAGTCGGAGTGACTCCCCCCCAAGACAGGCACACCGAAGCGCTCCCTACAAAGGTTCCAAGGTGAGGAGCTACCGGAAGTCTAAGGACTGCAAGTACCCCACCCAGAAGCCACACAAGTCTCGAAGCCGGAGCTCCTCCCGCTCTCGAAGCCGCTCACGGGAGCGGGCAGATAATTCTGGAAAATACAAGAAAAAAAGTCATTACTATAGAGATCAGCGACGAGAGCGTTCGAGGTCTTATGAGCGAACGGGCCATCGATACGAGCGGGACCACCCTGGGCACAGCAGGCATCGGAGGTGAGGCTCAGCGTCCCGGGGGGCTGCCCTTCAACCTTCAGCGTGTACACCTCGGCATCACTGGCCCTGTGGCACAACTCTTTTTGGAAATGGTTTATTGACTCTGGACCTTGTGAGGAATTTGGAGATGGAATCGAGAGGCCAGAGAGGTGCCCTTTAGGCCAGCCTGGGCGTGGCGCACACCCGGCAGCGCAGGGCCCACCTCAGCAGCAGCCCTGCAGCAGCTGGATGCGGTAGCAGATGAGCACGTCCAGGTGGTGTGGCTTGGTGCTAAGGACAGGCTGTCTCTTCACTCCTGTATCGATAGTCAATTACGTCAAACCAAGAAAGTGAATTTTAAAACCTTTGCCTATATTAGGTTGTACTTCTGTACATATCTTGCAGTGTTTCACAATGAGAAAATGGCCTTAATAGCCCCTTACTCTCTAGCCACGTTGTAAATAAACATGTGTTGAATACAAGTTAAAGCTATATATGAAATGAAAACTCAACTTGAATTCTGTCAGCTTAAAACTTGTGTAGAGAATTCCGATTTTTAAAATTTGAAGGTATTTAGATCTGTGTTGAAAGTCGTATATTTTTATCTGTGCGATGCTGAGTGCAGGCCACCAGCTTCTAAATAGAGGTTTCCTATATATGCATTTTATGTGGTTAAATAAATACAGTTCTCTCTACTCAGGACATTTGGAACGTTGAGGAATTTGTAGTTTGTCATTCTGCTTGCTTGTCACCATGCACGGCCTCCGGTACCCGTTCTAGCGGTATGTCTGCGCCACTGTCTCTGATCTCATTAAAGTGTCGGATTTTGTATTGAGCTCCTGTGTGCCTGCTCTTCTGTTGGAGGCTTGTGATGGGCCTGAGCTGTCTGTGTGTTCGGACAAAGGTTGCTTCCTTGGTGGCAAAGAAGGGAGGATTTGAAAAGGACAAAATGGGGGCCGGCCCCGTGGCTTAGCGGTTAAGTGCACACACTCTGCTGCTGGCGACCCGGGTTCAGATCCCCGGCGCGCACCGATGCACTGCTCGGGCCATGCTGAGGCC